TGAAAAGTGCTCTATCTTAAAGCATGCATGAACAGCTTTAATTTGATACCCATATTAAACAAATACATCCTAAGGTTACCCGGGTCCACGTTTTGGTCTGTATCTCGAGACCCTAGTCACCCAGCTATATGAAAAGTGCTCAATCTTAAAGCATTCATGAACGGCTTTCATTTGATACCCATATTGAACAAATACACCCAAGGTTACCCAGGTCCACGTTTTGGTCTATATCTCGAGACCCCCCTAGTTATTTTTTTTAAATTTTCTTTGCTACAAACCTTACGGAGCCCGAGCCCTTTCCAACGAATGCAAAACCGTGGGAATCGGTTCGGCGGTTCTTGAGTTATAAGATTACCAAGGAAATGTAACTTCTTTTTATATATATAGATATATGTATATATATATATGTATGTATAGTTGAAACTGGATAATAAGATTATCGGTTTTTAACGTATGTATGTATGTTTATTGGTTGTAAACCATTTTAAAGCCGATAATAAAATGCTTTCCTTTAGAAACAATCGCAAATTTAAATGCAACCTTTAAATATAAAGTGAGCTTTAAACTTACAGGTTACTTGAGAAAACGGTCCTAAGTAATAATAATGGCGGTTTCTTTTCTACGAAAAATGCTGTCTTCTCATTGCCATCTTCTAACGGTTTGCGTGAAGCTGGAAGCAGTTATCGGACTAAAAAAAATTCTGTGTGGTAGAATCTAGAAAAAAATGTGGTAGGTTTCAAATAAATGTGGTAGATCTCAGTTTTGGGATAGTTTATTATTTTTTTACTTGATATTCTTGAAACGTGCATTTTAAATTTTTATTGAAATATTTTTCTTTTAATTGAACAAACTATTTTTCGCTGATTTGAAAATAAAATCAAAAGTTCAAGCTATCTAGTCTGGACTGTATTTACATATGTAATTATATATATGTATGTATGTACATGTGTGCAGCTACAGAAATGGTTATTCTTATGTATACACTGGCAACCTTTTGTGGATTTTTCATTATATTATTTAACAAATGGGTGTTTCTGTGAAAATGTAAATCAAAAATGCAAGTAAATCGGTTTAAATGACTTCTTGACTTTAAATTTCGTATTCAGATGTCGAAAAAAGTTTATGATAACGCAAAACTGTGGAGAGAACTCAAATAAAATTAAATAAAAAATTAATTATATATGCATTATTAGTAAAAATATTGTTAATTCAAATTAAAACCAACAACAAGTTGCTTCTGATTTAATACGAATTGGTGGTAGAGGTCCGTAATTTGACTTTATTTAAAGGATGTTTAAGAAAGGAAAACCTCACAGGATTCGCAGAGTTTTGCTTACTTTTACATGTACTCTGAAACCACTTTTGTTTTTATCACTTCCGTAATGACCTTCTTTTCATCGATTTTTCCGACACCCGCAACTTTTTTGGTGATTCACTCTAATGTGCATACGTATGTATGTATACACTTGCAGGCATGGGAGAATTTTCACATTAACCTCGTGTCCGATTTTGAAAAAACGAGGTGAAAACTAAGCGATAGGTGTGAATATTAATAAAACAAAACGATCAACGATTTTAACATGAGGGGAACTGATTTCATTGGAACATTTGAAAAATATGAACTAAAAAGCGAAAAAGCGCTTTAGTAGAGAAGTCGACTGTTATTCCGTGAGTCGCAGGTGCAAAGACCGGCACATGCAGTAATTAATTGATAGGGAAAATGTCTTATATAAAAAAATTTTGGATTTTTAAACGAAATTTCATTTTCATAGTCGTCGATAGTATTTTCAATATTGATAATTTATCAAGAAAAGTGCTCTAGATTTCTGTGCTAGAATCCAAAATCTTGATAAATATTAAAAAACAAAAATAAAAATACAAATTATAAAAATGTTGAATTTGTCAAATGCACAGAATCGGGCTGTAAGTATCTACTACTTGGGATTTATTCTCAGAAAGAAAGAGCGTGGTGAACTGAAAAGGATTATAAATACATACGTAGCATGTTTCAATTATCTTGGTTCGTATTTAACACTTCTCATAAGACTGTAGAGACGCTGAAATGACATAAAAAAACGTCGAGACACGTTACCTTAATTTTGTGTCGTAAATTGTGGATCCGTACACCATTTTTCTGGATCAGGACTTTTTCCCAAGATATTTTAGTTCTAAGATTGTATTGTGAATAAAAACAAATCAAACCTTAACATGGAAGATGACACGCATACGCCACACACGACCACGTACAAGTACGGCAGTGCACGATATGGCGTATGAGTAACATTATTCCTTGCCCCTATTTCATACAAAAAAAAAATTATTGCACGTTTTCATTTATTTTTTTTATTGTTGTTTATTTATTCATCGATTTTCATCGTTAGTTGCTGTGTTTTTTTTTTTTGCAAAAGAACAGAATTACCGTTAATTTTTGAGAATTTTTTTTTTCGCATTGGCTTCCATATAATGAATAAACTCAATTTATTTGTATATGGAAGAAATCCGCAACACCTTTGCCGAAATAAATTCTAAAAATTCAACGGTAACTTTTAGCCACTTGAAACTTGCACATTATCGGACTAAAATTGAAGGGGCTAAAAAACTGTGTACTCAAAAAAATTCTAACACTTCCGAGAAAAAAGTTTGAAATTTAGGTGCAAATTTGTTGCACTTTTTTGTAGTTTTCTACAAATTATTAAACTTGGGTTTATATGGGGTTTGTCTGAGAATGAACTATATTTTAATTGAAAATTCCTAAAAATAAATAAATAAACATAAGTGGCACACAATATCACTTTGAAATGGCGTGCTATAGATATGACCGATACTGTAGGTATATACATCAAACGGTTGGGGCGAGCAAAGACGCTACTTACAAAGGATACAAAGAGGTTAATGGGATTTAGTGAGCTGAAATTATAAATAAACCCGCGGTAAGAACACCACTGAGAAGCACGCCAGACATCTACTCTTCCCTCAGCTACCTTAGAACTGAATTAGACATGTGCATGAGACATCGAAGGCGAAACACTGTGGAAAGCGTAGGACAGCTGAGATCATGTTTCGCTCTTACAACGCAAAAATCATCAACTATATTCCAGTACTTCAAAGGCTGGATTGTATGATACTATTTAGGTGAAGGAATGCAAGAAGTAGCAAATTGCTTATTCTTCTTCTTCTTATCTGGCGCTCGAAAAAAATGCATTATGACTAAAGTTTAATCATAGGCACAAATTTCGTTTAATAAAATTCTTTAGAGTTTGGGAAAAAACTTTTAAATTTAAATTTAAATTTTAAAACTGATAGAACATTTCCAACTACCCAATATTTAATTTTTTTTTAGAAAAAGTTAAATAAATTATTTTTTGTTATTATCGTAATTATTAAAACTTGTATTTTTATGCTATTTGTTATTTATTTTTATTTTTATTTTTATTTTTCTTTTCTACTCAATACTCGGGCCATAATATATAATTGTAAACCTAATGCTACTCATAAGTTTTATAACTTTTGTATTAGGATCCCCTTATCAAATAAATCAAATCCAATTCCACACAATCTTGGAGCATTACTGTCTTTCTCCTCACACACTAGAACTGGAAATACTCTGTACCATTTTGTTTGTAAATAAACAAAATGTCTTAGTAATTCTATGAAAGTTTCAGAATTTCGGCGCGTTGGTTTCTTCTCACACGCCACTGTGTAGTTTTCGCATGTGCTTGATTAATTCCAAATTCGGTTGCAAAGTTTGTGTAATTACAGTGGAAAACTTACAGATATTTAATCAGCTCTACGCTTTGCATATTCGTCTTTAGAATTTATACAAGTTTTTGCCTTAAAGTTTATTAATTTATTTTCGTTAACTTTCATTTCCTAACACATATTCCGAAGGCAAATTTAGTCATTTTAGAAAATTCAATATAAATAAGTAAATTACTGAAACCTTGCATGGTTTTCTGACTGAATTTGCTATATTAGAAGCTTACACTTTAATTAAGTATCTTCCTAATTATTATTTAGTTATTGCCCGCATATATTTTAGTTTAAGAAAGCAAGTAAAAAAATAAAGTCATTCTTCTATATGGATCAATGAATGAATTTTGGTCCAATTTTTTCTTTTATTTATATTGAAGTTCTGCCAAAAGAAAAAAAAAATAGTGTTTGGAAGTGTCGATACCAAAAGTACTCAAAATTCGATTCCCAAAAGGATCGACAGTACTCAAAACTTAAGTACTCGAGTACTCGAAAGTACTCAATACTCAATAATACTAATATGTTTCATTCATCACTTTGATACATATATTCAGGATTTATTCACAGTACTCAGTATTAAGTGTCGAATAGATAATTACATTTACCGGTATTCAGAAATGCATGTTATAAATTTCAAGCTTCAATAATTTTCAAACACAATACTTGCACATATTTGCACTGCTTGTGAGATTTCTACACTTCGCATAATTTTACCTACATGTGTATATTTAAAGAAAGTACTCAGCACTCTCAAAACTACCCCATCCCTAAAAGTATTGATACCAAAGAACTCGATCGCTGGTCTAAAAGTTAAAGTTAGTAAATTTATTTATCTTTCATTTGATATATACAACCTTTTTATTTTATCAAACTCGTTATGTGGAGGTATCTCGAAAACTTCATGTCAGACAAAAAAAAAATTGAATTTTCGAACTCAGCGGCTGATTTTACATAGCAATTGGATGGTTTAGTTCTTGAGTAATCATTTATTATTTGTAAACCAGTGTAGTCAGTATTTCGCAATCAAAAGTAAAGCATGATGGCTTTTTGTTAACTTAACGAATGAAAATGTAGCATCTCGCATTCATTCTGAGAATGAATCCGCCTTTTTATTTCCATAACGCCATTTTCTTTATGCAGCAATTAATTAAGTCAGCATATTAATTAATATGAACCACAAATGTGCAATCATGCAGCCGCACATTTTTTTTATTTATTTTTTTTCATAAAAATTTTAAACGAAGCCATAGCACCAATTTGTTCAGTCGCTCGTAAAAGCACTTGCATACATATTTTCAGAAAACATTCGCAGTTCGAATATAGTAAATGATGAAATCCGGCAAAAAGCATAAACTATGGCTCCACAAAACAAATAATGACCAATTAATATCGGGTTAATGAAACAAAATTTATTACAATTCAAGGAGTCCTTATTTTTGCATCAATGACTGATTGTGTTGTAGTTAATACAGGCAGCAGCGCAGGTAGTGGAAATGGCGGTTGTGGTCGTGTGAAAGCAATAATAAACTCAAACAATGCGTACTAAAAGCGATAATCAAAGTAACACTTGAAAGATGGAATTGCAATTAACCACAAGACATTTAATAGAATAAAATCAAAAATGCTCGAAACTTGGCGCCGCCAATTAATGACCTACAATTATGCGCTTAAATGGAAAATCGCACAAAATACAAGCGTTTGAATGACAACACTGGAACAAGGCGAGTCGAGTCGAGTCGAGTCGGGTCGATCGTCGCTAAGGCAACCACAAAAATCGCCCAATTTAACTTTGAAAACTTACTCACAAACCTATAAGGATTATCGAAAGAGGGTGATGGGTGGTTGGAAAATTCACGCTCTCTGCTGATTTGCTTTTGATATTGCCTTTGGGGGCATTGCGCCTTTAATATGGATTTAAGGCGGGATTGATTTACCGCGAATAATTGTTTCATTAATTTAATTGATATGTCTGTGTTTGTCACTATGCATACTCGAATGCAGCGGAGAGTAGGGGAGGAAAAGCTGCATGGCTGGGTTTAAGACATGTTGGGAGCCAGTGTTGCCAGGTCGTTGACGTGAGAAAACGTAAGTCCTAGTTACTTCAAAGTAAAATTTAATTTTTTACGAAAGTTTGTGGAATATTTAACGGACTTCAAAAAATGGAGGAAGTTATCAATTCGTCGGAATATCTGGAATATTTGGACCATGTTAACCGATTTCTTGCATTATTTTCTTAAAGGAAAGGTGCAACCCAGAGGTGGTCCCATACTATTTTGGTTTAGATCCAATTATTGGATTATGAAGAAACTAACGGAATTTTTTAGTTTTTATATGAGAATTGAAGTTGGTTTTGTTTTTTGCTTAAAAGTTAAGTTTTTTAAATATTGCACAAAGTCTGAAATATGGATTTATAGGGTTTTCGTTAAAGAAACAAAAAAAAAAAACAACAAAAAAAGTGTTACGGTGAGATTGCCAAAAATCACCGCGATTTTTTAGCAACTTCAAACCTACAATTTGTTGTAAAAAATTAAGATATTTTATTTTTATGTTTTTTGTTGCAGTATGAACTATATTTTTACAAAAAAATTACGGAAAGAAATTAGAACAAAACACATTACATACCTTGCGAAAAATTCTCTGTTTCAATACTATTGTTCGTCACTGTATGTATGATCCGAAGCTCCATTCCTCGTGCAGAAGAATTTTTTTATTATTATTATTTTTTTTTATTATATATTTTGTTCAAAAAGGGTATATACCTACTATATACTTTTTTAATTTATTTGTGATATTTTTTCCTTTATTAATTCAATTTTCTTGCAACTTTTAGATATTATTGTTTTAAGAAATATATTTTGTATGCCATTTAATTTTTAGAAACGTCTTTTTGTTTATTTTTCATTTGCTTGTCTTTAAATTTTTATTTTATAAAGAATAATATATCTACATGTTTTTATTTATTTATTAATTTTGAGTTTTGTCTTTCGAAAGACTTTGGGGAGTTGAAAGACAGTTGCCAGAATTGTCCTGTTAATTTGGGTTAAAAATGTTTACGTTTAGGGGTTAAAAGCGCAATAATTATTCTAAAAAAATTAAAAAATATGTAAAATCTGCATTAAAAATTCGCACCAATTTAGAAAAACAGGTATAATATTTTATTATGTACTAACGATGAATATGGGTATTTCCAAACTGGTGTAACGTGACGCTCGTATGACAAAATGTTAAAAAAAAAATTAATATTTAGTCAAAATTTTAAAAAGGTTTTGCATAGAAATTAAATGTTCCCTTATTCAGTAAAAAAAAAATATTACAAGTATTGGTAGGACCGGTTTAAAGATATTAGTAAACATACGCGCTAGCGTGACGTTACAGAAACTTTGCGAATTGGCCAAGCTTTTTAGTTGCTTATGTAAACTGGTAAACGGTAAACCAGTCAAAATGGCACGCAGAGAAAAAATCGCCAATTTGTTTGTCGAAATTGTCAAATCGTAATGACAGTTAAAAATCGTCCAAATGAAGACCAAACCGCCAACCAGGCAACACTGTTGGTAGCAGCAGCAAAATGCTGCTGTTTTTATTGATACAGCCAGCGTAATACAATGCTTCTAACCAAGTCAATCAAAAGAGCTGCTGCCCGCGGCTGAGGTGCTTGCTCTGCTAATATCTGTCGCAGGCATGAGCACGCTTGCCTGCTGGCGATATCGATATCAATGTTTACTATGAATGCATTTAGCCCTAATTTAAGCTCGTTTACTTGTATGTACATATGAATGTATGTATGTATAAGCGCCTCCAGATGTGAGTAATGAGTTAATTTGATTTTATTTACGTCAACTTAGTCGATGAATATTCTTGGCCGCTGTTGTGTCTCGTAAGGAGTTGTTGAGTAAGGAGTTTCTCATCTAGATAAGTATGTATGTATTTAAAAGCGGTCGTCTATTGTTTTTCTCAATTCAACTTTGACACAACGTCTACTCGTGTCCTGCACAATTTCAGTGTCTCCTCCTCTGCATTAATTTATTAATTTGACTTGTTCTCAATCTGCTACTGAAATATGCGCTTTTCCCCTGGGTAAGATTGAATTGTTTTTGTTGAGTTAAATAACGGTATTCTCTCATTAATTTTCATTATTATTACAGCCTAATCTTAGCGAATAGCAAATTTGATTGATGATTAATTCCTTATGGGTTTTGATCGTAAAACCAATTTTAAAACTTGCTGAAGTCCATACAGCAAACCGCAAGCGAGTAACACCGACGGCATTGCTTTGTTAGCTGAATTGCATCTGAAATTAGGAAATGAGTAAATTAAATATTGGAAAAGGTATACATATGTACATATGTAGTTCGCATTCTCGCCCTCTCACTCACCTGCTTGAATGTTCCACCCAGGTAATTTGTGAGCTAACGCCATAAGCACTGGCTAAATCATTGATCTTGTCAACGAGCGTCGAATTGAGCGGCGCATGTCTGGTTAGTATCTTCATCATGCTGACTTGCGGCGCTAAAGGCGAGTACCCGCATACGAGCGCTACTGTATTATAATCTGTTGCAATCAACTTGAAAATTACAGTAATGCTGACTACGCTGTTTACATATACAATTTCGAATGTGCCATTTCGAGTCTTTTCATCCCAATTAAAGTCGAGAATTTCACTTGTATTCTTCCAACCATTGTTGACGTTATTGAAATAGTTCAGCTGAAGGCTGTAGTTGCCATCGACGGGCGTAAGTGGGGCAGTTACTTGTACGCAAGCCGGAACTGCCGTCTCTGGCAGTCTCGCTGTTTCGTACCAAATGCCAGATATCTGTATATGTCCATATGAGTGTACATATGTATATAGTATATGTACATATATCGATGGTCCTGTGCAATAAAAACTGTTACTGCTGTTAAGTGGCTCTTGTCTCTAATCCTTATCTAATCCATTTCCATCCCTCACTAAAGTAAGCAGTAAGGAATGTTAAAGTTAGTACTAAAGATTTGACATGGATTCGACAAAGATTAGAGCCATGAGCCAATTAAGGGTTTTTTATTTTTTGAATTTTGAATTGTATCGTTATAGCATAGGACCATCGATATGTATGTATATTAACATAAACGGTATTAAAACAAGTCTAACTCACTCGTGTTACATTGAATTCAAAATTGGAAACATTTACGGCGCAGCTCCAGTCGAAACTCGCTGCATCTGCTGTTGTACAAATATTGGCAGCAAGCAGGAGTACCAGTATGCTGGAGAGTACTATAATGCGCGGGGCTGTAGCCATGTTTCAAAATCATTTAAATGTCGAAGGCAAGTTTCAGAAGTCCATTTGACGCTGTAGACAGTAGCAGACTAAACGTTGAAATTTCGTTAATAAAATATATTTATCTATATACATATGTACATATGTATGTATGTATGTATGTATTTTAGCACATTAGACCGATAACTGCTTATCTTCTTTGATTGCTATATGGCTGCCGATAACCAATGTTATCATTTATTTCAATTCTATTATTTATTCTCGCACTCACAGTGGGCAGCTTTCAAAAGAAAAAAATTAAGTGCGCGTTGTATTCAAAAACAAAGAAAAGGCAAGAACAAAAACCATAAAAAAGTAGCCGCCTGTGATTCGCCAACACTTAGCGAAAGAAGCAACGAAAGAGATTGATGAGGTGCAACCAAACTCGCCAATGTACATCGCTGCTAGCTAACTTTGCATTTGCTTATGTTTCGGTAAGCTAGAAGGGATGAACTCAAACGAGAAGAGAAGTGGCGAATCCAAAGTGGCTAATATTTTAAATATTATGTTATAATAACTAATAATAATTTTATAAATTATGTTATAATAACTCAGAAATAGGTCAGAAATTTCTGTTTGTGTGAAAATTGGGTATAATATTATGGTCATTTAGAAACTGTGTAACAAGTCTAATGGTGATTTCGTTTCTTCCAAAAAATGATGCTCTTCCACGCCGAAAAATGTGTTTAATATTAAACTCAACCCTATTAAAGGGCACGTTTTTGGCCTTCTTTTCCTATTTTCGGTTTATGCAGGCATCTGATTTTCTGGGCAACCGTCTCCCCTGAAAAAGCTCAAAGGGCAGAGAATGTGCCTTTTTTGCCTAACAAGAGTGTGAAATTTTTAGAAACAAACACAATTTTCTTACGAATTCGTAAAAAGGATCTACATATTTGAGTTTAGTGAGCAGTGCAGTTTACCAGTCCTATACAGAGCCAAATTCAATTTGCAAAGGGATTCCTGGTATATGCAGACGACATCGACATCATTGGTAAAAACAAGGGATACAGAGATGCAAAGCGTGTGAGTCTGGTGAACCTCAGCCTGAGTAGGCAATTGAGAAATAAAGTCCTCTCTCGTCGTACAAAACTCACACTCTACAAGCTCCTTTTAACGCCTATGCTGGTGTACGGCGCAGAAGCATGGACAATGAAGGCATATGATGAACGATGAGCTGTATGAGCCTTACAACGGAATAGACGGATAGTTAAAATACGGCATTTCCGCTGGCTCGGTCATGTCGTAGGAATGCACACAAACGCTCCAGCCCTAAAAGTATTCAACGCGGACCATGCTGTCGGTGACAGAGGAAGCGGACGGTCGTTCACTTCGAATTTCCAATGGCATCAATTGACGAAATTTTTTTTTTTTTAATTTCTTAAGCGATTACAGCGTCAATCAAGAAGAAGAAAAAGTAATTTTAGAGGTCTATGTAGGTATGTACATTAGTATATAATAAAATTGTTTTTTAAATTTTTTTAGTTCTAAGTTCTTTTATTTGTATTTACGGTTTAAAACTCTTAATTTCTACTTTATTTAGTTTTTTTTAAATTAAGTTGTAAGTCAGCAAAAAAACTAACTTTTTTCTAAATCTGGCAAAATTTTGCCTTTGTCACTGAAATATTTATATTGCGTCCATTGCATAATTCTGATTTTTGTTAGAAGACTTAGATTTTCATCCCTAATATGTACATATATTAATTCGTTAAATACATATTCATTTTGGAAACTTTTTCATCGAGTTTTGTCAGCTTTTTTTTTTGGTAGATTTTCACTAATTGCCAATTAACTTTTTACAATGTTTTGAATTTGTGAAAAGTTTGCCACATCACTTTGATGTGGTTGTTTACCTTTACCTGTAGTAAATGGACAATAAATAAGTAATTAAATTACGGACATTTTTCTGAGCGGTGAGTTGGAAGATTTGCTCTTTGTATTTAAAATTATTTGTCCAATAAATTTTGACTGAAAGCAAATAAAAAAATATCGGCGCTCTTTCACAACGATTCTGTAAGGTGGAAAAGTGGCGGCACTTTTGTTCGTTGTTGTCATTCATACTCACATAAATTTGGGACAAGTTTGTGTTTCAAAATTCGTGTTTTAATTCTAAAGTTTACGGATTGTGCAGATATGTATGTTACTGCTGGATACACAAGAACTAAAAGGGAAAGAGTATTTGAACTACTGACCATCTACTTCCGTGGATCAATGACGCAATCTTAATACTGGGAAACGGCGAGCCATACATACAGTGATGTACATATGTATGTATGTACTCCAAGCATGGGAGAGCAGGCCCAAATTGAGTTCATTTCCCAAGTGGCTAAAATCTGGCAAAATCCTTTGGCCCTTTCGTTTCAACCATTTCAAAGATATGGAGAAAATCTGTCTTCATTTTTGCTAGGAACGCTATAGAAACTGATTGACCTGCATGTGGAAGACAGAAGTCCTTATGGCCGGGTTTCGAAAACTTAATATGCCTATTGCACACAATAATCGTGGAGTGCATAGACGAAGCCTGAGCTCATAAAAGCATCAAGCGAACTTTTACTAACATCCGGGCAGCGGCAATAGTCAAATCTCCAAATCGCTAGGGGTTGAAATCTATCTTATACAGCTTGCATTTAAGAAGTAGCTCAAGGATGGATTTAGGGAAGCGGGGTGGCTGGAGTAAGAGATCAGTGAACTTTTGCA